CGAAGGTGGTTTTGTGCTCATCGTGAACCACAAAACAGATTTTCAGCAGAAAATAAAGGTCACTTAAGTAGCGTCGAGCGGCAGACACACGAACCAGCAGGTAACGAGGTTAGCACCAATAAAGCTAGCCTAAGAACCTTAGAAGCTGAGCTAACTAGCAGCAGCTATATGAGCTCAGGTTTAGAGGTGACTATCGCGAGGTGAAGGGCGACAGAACTGAGTAATGACTCTGGTGACTCTGAACTTGTAGGGTGAAGGCGGAGCCTGTCACCAGACGTTCAACGTCACCACGTCACCGGTCTAAAGACGTGATTAGAGGTGGCTTCAGCCAGGCGTGTGAGGGCGTGCGTGTCCTATATACAACTGTGTGTTGTACTGAGAGAAATAACTGAAAAGGGAACCACTTAATGTTTTATTACTGAAACACACTAATGACTCCAGCGACTGCCTGTGGGAACGGACAAGTGGGAGTTGCTCCCTGACTCTATTGAGAGTTGGCAGGCCGACCTTCTCTGATGGCTCAATTTTACTCCTATGACACAATTACTGCTGCCTGGCAAACTGACAGAACTGAACAGGAGAGCTGGATGCATCTGTGCTGGCTAGTCTCTGCATCACAATCAAACGACAAAAATGAGTTTAAAAGGGCAAGCGTTTGTATCATCAAGTGCAAATGTCTTTTTTCTGATAAGACAAACTGTTAATCAAAGCTTCTGCAGATGCCCTTTAGTTGCTCCTACTGTAGAACCAGTGAAGCCTGCGACGTACGTCAGGTAAACATACCTTCCTCGTCGATCCACTTCATGGTGAAGAGCTGGTCATTGTCCATGGAGCACATGTCCTTCACCTCCCCGTAAAGGTTCTCGTACGAGATGGACGGTTCAAAATGTGTGATCATGATGTCCCTGCAGGACAATAAAAGCCCAATGATTGACCTGTGTGATTTCTATCAACAACCAAAAGAGTTGGCTCGGCTCTAAAACAAAAAAAAAAAAAATACAAAAAGACTGTGGGTTTTAAAATCAAAAGCATAATAAAAATGTCACCATACAGCCATTCTACTTGAAGTAGCAATGTTTATATTTTCTATTTTGATATCACAATGCTGTATAAGTATGTAACCAGAGTTAGAGCTGGGTTTCAGCTTTGATATGTAAAAAAGAAATGAAAACAGATCAATTTTGACTAAAAACAAAAGTATTTGACATGTGCAAAATTAATGACTTCAGAATAAATTTGAGGAAAAATCCAACATTAAACATTAAAAAAATGCATATTAGATAATAGAAGGTTAATCACTTTTCTTATAATGTTTGATGCTGTTTGATTTATGAACTGAACATTTAACCTAAAATATCTAAG